AAAATAATAATGTAAGATGCTCAAATCAATTGCCAGAATTCAAAACTTTGCAGCATTGCCCATCATGCTTCTTACACTGAAAAAATGTTCTGATTAAATCAACAAAAGAGCCCAATAAAAATGGTATTTTAATGAAAATTGAACAGAATTTTTATTATTCAAATTATATAAGATGCTCAATCTAATTGTTAGAATGTCAAAACTTTTTATACCTATTGTTCATCATGCTTGGAAAAAGAAAAAAAAACTGAAAAAATGTCTAATTAAACTAACAAAAAAGCTCAATAAAAATTACATTTTAGTGATAACTAGGAATTTTGTTTATCTTTAAAACGCAATACTTGTTGAATTCTTTAGTTAGTTTAATCGTACATTAATGTACATACACAATTATTTATTTGCTAATCTAACAAAATTATTTTCTGTTTCAAAATTATTAGATCTGTATCTATCTAAATTATTAGATATTTCAATATCATTTTTTTTGTATGTCTTTTCATTTCATTGTCGTTTTAATTACACTGATCATATGAATGTTCTCGATAATAATGAACCACGATTTATGTCAATAAATTGAAGACAGGATTTATGAATTAAAAAAATCAAAATTATTAAATTTGATTGTTTTTTCTATCGACGCAATTATTTTCCAATGTTTATACATATATATTATATATAATATTAATGTAAGACCATAGAAAATAATAAGGATGACATTATTTAAAAAAAAATAAATATTTTTAAAGCATAAATGAATTAAGTAGGTTCAGTACGGGTCGATACCTTTTCTAGATCAATTTTTCATATGAATAGACTCATACTTTCGCACTTCTCGATACATCAACGTATCTGTCCGGAACCAGAACAATCAATATCACTTTGTGACTTGAAGGTAGAAGGACGTATGTCATATGTCCATTTACACGACATTAGTCAGTCTTTCTGTGGGCCTCAGGGAAACATTTTATTTGACGTACATGTCATATTCATGTCCAAAAGTCTTTTCTGAAAAGGGAATGACACTAGTCATTTCTGTTACATTTTACGTAAAAGCCAAAAATGAAATCAAAATGATATTAATCGAGTAAGCAAATAAGTTTATGCTTTTAGTTGAATATGTTGTGTCCCAAGTCCATTAGCAACGTATCACGCAACGATGATTAATACAATGTCCGAGATAATTAACGTTCAGTGCAGTTACGATAGCGCGTGATATTCCTGACAGGCACGTCTAATCAACGTTCATAAAATAAACCGCAAGGGGAAACCCTTGTATATAGGTCCACCGTATTGCGGTTCGGGCCATCGAACCTTTCTCCGCTGCATTGCAGGCAAATTCGTGTATTGATACGAGAAAGAAATTGTATTAATTTCTATTAATTTTCCCACGCACGTACATATGTATCACTTTAATGCTTTAACGATCTTCTCTATAAATTCCAAAATACTCTACACAGGAAAACCGCAATAAATAATTACGGAAAAGTTTTCTTTTACTACAATAATATATTTACGTACTTTAAATGAGTGTAAAACGTACATGAATTATTAATGATTGATTTTACCGTATTTTAATTGCTTTCGTGTACTAACCATATAATTAAGGTTTTACACGTGGATCTAATGTTCACATTAATTGTTTCATAACGTTGCAGTGTTGCAAGGATCAATAGCTGCTTGCGTTATCGCTGATCCTATTAAATTGAGTATCGAAACAAATAGATGCGCTACAGATTAACGCGATTTAGCACTTTGCTATTATACATAGCTTGTATATCATGAAATCCTTAAAATAATGAAGTTTACGCGCGATTATGTCTTTCATTAAAGTAAATAATATAAAATAATAATATCAAGAAACAGGACTTTTTATGAATAAATCAACTAAATATGAAAAGCATCTATTACGGTTAAAGTTAAAGATTGGAATAGTAACATTTATATAAATATTTTAAATAAATTTTATCTCAGAAATATGACTGGATGCCGATTACTTTTCGACTTGCAACACAAATTGAAATAATAAAAATACTCTCAAATAGTATTTCTGAGATAAAATTTATTCAAAATACATATATAGATGTATTATTCCAACTTCTAACTTTGATCATAATAGGGACATTTCGTATTTAGTTAATATAAAATAATATAAAATTGTTTTTATTATATATCTTTTTTTATTATAATACAGATAGAAAGATTTGTCAACTAAGACAAAGTACTTCTAATCGTGATTTTTCTTATGGCATTGTGAATATTTATATCAGTAAAATTTCTGTGAGTCATGTTATGCTGTCATTGCGGAAACGTAATGTTGAAATGTTTACATACAACTTTTATAAAAGGAAACATGCCAGTATAAAACGGATCTTCTTGCGGCTCATTATAACTCTGGTACTTATAACGCATGATTGCGTAATAATGATTCATTCGATGACACTACGCGATGTTCTCGTAATAAGCCTCCTTCATGAAGAACCACCATTTATGTTATAGTAAACATACTTGTTGTATGATTGCGAAATATGCCGTTCTTTTAAAAACCGGACGAGAAATTTGTCGCTCCATCAGTCAAACTGATGACACTTCCGTTGCTTTAAATGTATTCAATCAAGACCTGCTTTGTCTTGAAAGATTTCGTTTTGTAAGCATTCTTTAAAATAAATATTTAGACTAAGAAACTTTAATGTCAAATTTGTAACACAGATTTTTTTTTTCTATGAGAAGTATGACATTTAAGTAGTGACGAAATGAATATTTCGAGCAATTCAAAAAATTATCTATTTTGTATTGTGAATAATTATCACATTATTTAGATACGTTTTGTTTATATGTACAATTTTGTTTCAGATAAAAAACATAATTAATATAATGTACATAATAAGATATAATTAATCGCGTTAAAAGATTATCGATATATGAAATATCATGCACATAATGTAATATGATAATTATCGTATCTTTGTTACTCATTCACTCTAAACAATTGCTTTAGACTAATTATAAATTTTAATTATTTTAGCCGCAATATATAGCGAATTAGGATAATAATATTACAACCCAATTATAAATTAACATCTATCGTAAAACTCTTCGCGGTTAGTGTCATTATTTCAAATATTTAACATGCGGTTGTAAATCTATCTGCACATTATGCGTTGCTGTAAAACGTACAATTAACAAAGGACCTTTCATTCCCTTTGTGTCACACGAGGGATTTTGCTCTGGAACAGTAAGTTATAATTGGGTCACCCTGAGCACCTGTCATCAACCACTTAATCCTGAATTGCAAAGGAAAACGGGTTAGTAGAAAGTTCCAAAGGAAAATGAGATAGTATAGAAACAATGTATCGCGACGTATTAAATGGAACCACAATGAAAATCGATTCTCCGTTCTTGCGTTTGGAAAAGCAATATACAATATTCATTTGAAATGCTCGATAATAAGTTTTCTCTAATGAAAATGAAATGGAAAATGTAAGAATATCTTGTTTTCCTTAAATTATAATTACAATTAATAGTTCATTAATAAGGCAACATACAATATTTATTTGTAACACTGGATAATAGATTTCTCTAATGAAAAAAAGAATAAAAAATAAAATAAAGAATATTCTGTTTTCGTCAAATTACAATTACATTTAATAATTAATTAATATTAAGTTATAATTGATTATATGATTATTCTATTAATACTTCGCAATGTAATGTTATAATAATCATTGTTGTAATATAATGTTGTAATATAATATTTATAATATTTTTATGAGATAAATAAGATCTATGTGAATACAGTATGCTTTTATAAAATTAGCTTTTTTTAAATGTTTAAGAATAATCAGAATATGATTCTAAATTAATTTTAATTTAATTTGTCCTAGATTCGTGTTAAATTCTTTGCACAGTTACGTTTAGATTCTTTAAATTCCAAATTAACATATTTATAAAATAATTATTTGGAATAGATAATTTATCAAATTGTTTGAAACATTCATTTTGCTACACTATGTTGACATTATAAGTGTACTCTTCACAGAAAAAAAATCTGTATTACAAAAGAGTGTGATTCATTAAAATCATTCAAATAATTTTATATGACGAACGTTTTCACATATTTTCCACATATCCAGCCTTCGAATGGAAATACATGGTACAATGGAAATCCAACCTTACAACTGCCTCGGGATAATTTACTCATAATGCGCATTTATAATGCTCCGTCATCTTTTGTAAGTGTGTAACTTTGGTTTTTTCTTGTCTCTGAAAAGATAGTGACGTTCACAGGCAGTGTAATATTATTGTGTACCAAGTGTGACAACAGGAAATTCTTTATACAAAATTCTTTTCTTTAAGTCGCTCGAAAATGAAGTATCTTAGATGTGTTCGTTATCCAGCGTCGTTGTTCCAATAATAGCGATAATCAAGCTCTGTATTTCCTATTTCCTATTTTTTTTAGTTATTTATGTATAATTTATTTATTTCAAAAAGTATCAATAAAACTACATATTTCGTAAGATATAAAATCAAATCGACCAATAAATGTCTTAAAATTCTCTATAATAATTCACTTCTATTAAAATATAAAATATATTTATAGGAGGATATATTGGAATATATGAAATAAAAATTTGAAAAACCCTAATGGCAAGATTTTCTGAAGCATATAAGACATTTAATATATTTATATATTATTAAAGATACAAAAAATTTAAACATAAATTATAAATTTTTAATTAAAAATGCAATTAATATCCCTATATTTTTACTTCTTTAAAAATATATAGAACACTCTGGATACATTAATTTTTTGACAATGTTATGTTACAATTAACACAGAAATAGTTAATATCTTTCTCGATTTCATCTAATGAATTGTCATTGACACGTAAGAGTGTCGTTTGGCTTTTAATTCAAGCGATATTTTCATTTAGTTGTATTAAGAGACATTAACTCTGGAGACTGATGATACCGAATGACCTCTTTTCTTGTACTCGTTGCAGGGGTGCTGGAGATGGCGGCCACCGAGAGCACGATCCGATTTAGTGGCCACACGTTGGACAAGGCGACCAAGGCCAAGGTGAATTCGAATTTAGTTTCAACTTGATTATTCCATTAAGATAGCAGCCATTCTATTCTCTATACTGCATTTATCAATTCATTCGAGATAGATGATTCAATATATAGAATATTAATATGATTAAATAGTTTTTTTAAATTAATTTTAGAGATATTTTTTCGCAATATGATCATTTTTACACCCATAAAATATTAAATATTTAAAAGTTTAATCATTTGAAGCTTGTGTTATTATTTTTATTTAAAATTAAATGAAGATAATGATTTTTTATCTCATTGAATTAATAAATTTTTTATTGTCAAGATTCTTTTATTTAAATATTAATTACACTGTAAGCATGTATCCGAATATCTTGAATTTTTGATGAGGAATGGCACGTAAATCAATATTAAACTTTCTTATCAACTTTCTAGTTTGACGCGAGGAAACTTATATAACAAACATGTTACATAAGTGATCAATATAGTGATCAAACTGTATAATAACACTGTATAACACAGTTCTTATGTTATAATAAATTTGATCTGATGAACTTATCATATGGTCAATCGATTAAATGGTAGGAGAGGTCGGTAAAAGAAATTATTACACTATAACTGATAATTTATAATATTCAATAATATTAATTTATTTAATATAAATAATGTTAATATTTTGTATTCCCAATCATCATTCTTGGCGAGAAACCTTATACATGAGTAAGAAATATAGATCAACACCAAAATAATTTCAGTCGACATGTGAGAGGCAATGTCGACTGTGTTGCTAATTAATCGTCGTTTTAACGAGATGAGCATTGCGATATTCTATATATTCCCGCGTGGTTGAATTTAATACATCGACACTATTCAGGATTATGGTTAATAATGTAATAAATTTGCAATTCCATCTGTTTATTATATTATTACGAATAAAATTATGAATAACGATATGTACGATAATTTCTATTTACGATGCTATTTCTGTAAATCTCATAAATTGAGACTTTAAGAGAAATGTATAATTTATTGATGTCCCACAAGAGACATGGTGTAACGCAGTGATCATTTTAGCTTTGTTTAACGTTGACAAATAACAAGGATGGAATGATTCACTATATCATCTCTTGCTAGAAAGCATTCTTTATCTTACGAAAGATCTCTCGGTTAGTATAAATTTACATATTTAAATATATATTCTTAGAAAAAATATATTTATAATTAGAAAATGTTTCCTTAATTTAATTAACACTGAAAGTATTAAGCCTAAATAAAATTTGGCTGGGAATTAATATTTGTAATTAAAATCATATTGTATCACTTGAATTGCAAAAATCATCACTTAATTTGAAAGGCTTCTTGCTTAATAACTATGTATACTTTCCTGAGAAAAAAATTACCAAAAGTTAACCAATTCTTTCCTACTACTAATTACAGTGTATGTTAATTATTATGCGATTACTCAACGTTTATCGGTATTGACGTTTATCAGTCGATAACAATGCTTGATAATTTCGTAATTATTGACCATTGCAAAAAAGTTGCCCATGTCAGCGTGTCTGCGCAAGTTTTTAAAATGAGGGTACTATAAGTTTCGAGAACTGAAAACCTGAAAAAGTTAGGAGAATTAGAAACGGAGAAAATTGCAAAAAATTTCTGGAATTTGGTGCTTCTCTAGATGAAAATAAAAAGATCACGAATTACATAATTAACATTACTTATAAATGTTCGTGTTTATATAATTATAGAAGATTATTAAATATTGTCTAAAAAAGTAATACATTAAAAATTATAAAAGAGCTGAGAGAGTCAGCGCGGTACGTAATATTTATGTTCAATAAAATATACATATTTGACATTACAGTACTTAATAAAACATTCATACATTTTGACTCGACTTTGAGTCAATTCATTTTCAACGAAAATATAGGCTGAGTCATAAATTTTTGTGGGCGTTGAATAAAAAGGAAGGAGAAATGTTCCTATGAACATTAAATAATAAATGCTTCCTTATGAAAATAATAATGGACACAAAGATTTGAAAAGATAAATATAATAACTATATTATGGTACGTCGTACTTATGCCTGTGAGAAATAATGAAGGACATTTTGAGCATCTTTTAAATATAAATCATAATATAAGTTTTTAATCAAAAAACTTACTTAAAAGTTTTGACTTTAAATAAAGTCATTGTTTTTATATTATATTACTGTATTTGTGTCCATTATTTCGAAAATATAATGAAATGTGACCTAATATATATAGGATTATTTATTCCTCCTACGCTACCAAGAAAACTGAAATGGAGTTTTTGACATTTTTAGATTTTCAAAATTAAAAGTTGTATTGTTCCATTGTAGGAAACCGGAATAAGGAAACCAGAGATAAAGACCATATATAGACATTATCTTTAAATACCGAGATTCAAAAGTAAAAAAGTTGTGGTATACAATTATTTATGACAGTAAAGAAAAAGAAAAAGTAACTCACCCAATCATCCCAGGAGCGTGAAACATAATTAAATCAAAAAATTTTTAGATAAAAAAGAAGAAATGAATAACAAAATTTAAATATTCGCTGTTAATTACAATATCAATTCCATCTAAGTTGAGCAAAAGTCAAAGTTAAAATAAGTGAAAAAAGAATAATTCAAAATAAAAAAAGATCTAAATAAATAAATAGACAACACAAATAAATAAGTAAATATACAAGAGATGATAAAAATCAAATAAATATAAACGTTCCCAGCGATTGATGTTTATAAATTGAGATTATATATTTTTTTTTCCTTTCTTATCAGCCCTTTCACAATTTTAAATATATTATTTTTTAAAAATTCTATTTATGTTTGCTTGAAAAGAATAATAGAAAATGTTTAGTTTTTCCTTCATTTTTCACGTTGTTTTTATTTCGTTTTACTTCACATCCATTTTTCTTGAAACATAAATTTTAATTTGCATCATAATCTCAAATATTTACGCTAACGGAAAGTGGAAATGTAATTAAAATAGTACTTCCATGTTCCATCTACAGTTGTAATTTCAATTTAGAACGGTAACAGTTTATTCCGGAAAATACAAGAATTTCTTTCTATCTCCGTCTTCACGGTTGCTCCAGCGAAAAGTAATGCTGGCTTCGAATCGTTTCGCAATGTGAACCTGATCTTGGTAAGCACAATAATCGCACTGGCCGTGGTAACCGCGCGCGACCAGCGGAAGTGGTTTTGTCGTGCGCAAGATAAAGTGTTATCGATCGCATTACGAGCTCTCGAGCGACGACATTGCAGGAAGAGGAGGATCATACAAGCTTGGTATGATGATAATCAGAGCATCGCGTTTTGCCTTTTGCAGGTAACGCTGGAGAACTACTACAGCAATCTGATAGCACAGCACATCGAGCGGAAGCAGAGGCTGGCGAAGCTCGAGGAGTCCCTCAAGGATGAGGGCCTCTCGGAACAGCAGAAGCAGGAGAAGAGGCAACAGCATGCTCAGAAGGAGACCGAATTCCTCCGGCTGAAGCGGTCCAGGCTTGGCGTCGAGGATTTCGAACCTCTCAAGGTCATCGGCAGGGGAGCATTTGGCGAGGTATTATACATTGATAACAGATGTATAATAGCAAGCTAGTTAGGACAGTTACAATGGTCTAATTGTACTAGATTAGCTGTGATTAGCTTGATATGAGATATGAGATTGAATTTTAATAAATAAATTTATATTTGTAAAAAAGAAGTATTGAAAAAAGTAATAGATATCACTAAACATCCTCATTTTGTCAGAAATATAGATTTTAAATGATATCTTCTAAATTAAACTTTCTATTTGTTTAAATGACATCTTAAATGATATATTCATCGAATATTTGTTATGTGTAAATTATTCATTTACGCAGCGATTTTTAACATAAAGACAGAGATTGACTTCTGTTCATATAATTATAATAATTACGATAATAATGGAATACGCGAGACTCTCTCAGGCGATAGTTGTTCAGGAGAGAGCGAAATTTTCTCATTATTTTTCAGAAAAAATAGCGTTTCGCCTCGCTTCGCGGAGTGAATGGCAATCCCTTTCGTAAAATTCAAAATTAGATGAAAAAATGTTTTTAATTCGTTCGAAAATCTGCCGGTTTTTATTCAAAACGTACTGTTTTGTAAAACAAAAAAAAATGTACAGGTAAGACTCGTACAGAAGAAGGATACTGGACATGTGTATGCGATGAAGATCCTTCGGAAGGCAGACATGCTCGAGAAGGAGCAAGTTGCGCACGTCAGAGCGGAGAGGGACGTCCTCGTGGAAGCAGACCATCAGTGGGTCGTGAAGATGTACTACAGTTTCCAAGATCCTATAAATCTTTATCTAATAATGGAGTTTCTTCCTGGTGGTAAGTCTTTTTATCGATCTTTGTGACAAGCTGAAAACGGAAGTGCTATTTCTGGGCATCGTGAATAATTCAAGCGAGATGAATTACAGGTGACATGATGACGTTGCTCATGAAGAAGGACACGCTTTCCGAGGAGTGCACACAATTTTATATTTCCGAAACGGCGTTAGCGATCGACTCCATACACAAATTAGGTTTTATTCATAGGTACGTTCATCTCGTTAAAATTCTTGGGAATAGAAATAATTAAATATAAATAGATTAAATATAATGAAATTTATTTACATTATAAGTCATTGATTTTAATTTTTTCTAAAAATAAAATATTTTAAATATATATGTAAATGTCTGTTTTGTGATATATATGTTTTAATGCAATTCTTGTCCTTCTAATAATCAAAAGTTTCAAATTTTTTAATTATTATGAAATTATATGAAATTTCATTTCATCTATATTTAAATACATAGTTTTTATATATGTATACAATAAACACATACATAGTTTTTATTGTATATATGTTATATAATAATGTATATACAATAATAAATATGTATATACAATAAACAATTACTTATATTAATTTTATTTTATTTTCCAGAGACATCAAACCAGACAACCTGTTGCTGGATGCACGGGGCCACATAAAACTTTCTGATTTTGGACTGTGCACGGGTTTGAAGAAATCACATAGAACTGATTTTTACCGAGACTTGAGTCAAGCGAAACCTTCCGATTTCAGTAAGTAACGACGTTTTTCGCGTGTGTCAAAGAGAAATATTTACATAATGTCGATTTATAATTTAATTGTCTCGTCTGTGTTTCACGCAGTGACATCATGCGGGAGTGGAAGCGGTGGCGCGATGGATAGCAAAAGGAGAGCTGAGAGCTGGAAAAGAAACAGGAGAGCGCTGGCTTACAGCACGGTAGGCACTCCAGACTATATCGCGCCGGAAGTATTTCTGCAAACAGGTTATGGACCGGCTTGCGACTGTTGGTCCCTGGGAGTTATTATGTACGAGATGCTTATAGGTATGATGTGTTGCGTATTTTTCTTTTTACAAAATTCATTTGTAATTAATAAATTATTTCAAAAACAATCTACACAATTGTTAATTTATTTATATTAATAAATTTATTATTCTATAAAAATACACACTTTTTTATTATATTATATATTACAAATATAAAATATATTGTGTTACAAACATATTAAATTATGTTATAACGATGACATTGATTGCAAGATAATTATTAAGGATGAACATATCATAGAATAAAAGTTTTAAAAATTAATCTTGTTAAAGTTAACAATAACATAACTATTTTAGGATATCCACCATTCTGCAGTGAAAATCCACAGGAGACGTATAGAAAAGTAATGAACTGGCGAGAAACGTTAGTATTTCCACCGGAAGTTCCCATTAGTGAAGAAGCTAAAGATACCATTATCAGATTTTGCTGCGAAGCCGATAGAAGATTAGGTGAATTTCTGTATCTTTATTTGGAATTATTAAAATAAAAAAAATCTTTCACATTATGATTAATCTTTATCGTGATTATTCTTCATAGGAGCTCAAAGAGGCATCGAGGAGCTCAAATTAGCGCCTTTCTTCCGCGGTGTCGATTGGGAGCACATCAGGGAAAGACCAGCTGCTATACCGGTCGAAGTGCGATCCATCGACGACACGTCGAACTTCGACGAGTTTCCAGACGTGAAATTAGAGATACGTACGTATATATTTTTTCTTTAATCTATAAATGCTCGTATGGTCAAACTGACCTGACGCATAAACATAAACGAATGAAAATATTTTACTAAAGAAATATTTTTTAAATATAATATGTACTTCCTTTAATTACTAATGTTTGAAAATTATTATTTTATTTTATGTTTAAAACACGTCTCAATTTATAATTATTTATAAATAAAAATAAAAAATTTTATTTACGCATGAAGTATAGATAAATTAAAGTGAGTCAAATTAATTCTCGTGCGAGAGCACTTACGGATTAATTTATTTTTTCCTTATTATTATCCAATTGCTATAATAATTTCTAACACACTTCATCCTTTCGTTTTGCCTCATTATAGCGTCCGCGCCAATGCCACAGGATGGCGAGGTAATATACAAGGACTGGGTATTCATTAATTACACCTTCAAGCGCTTCGAGGGTCTGACACAACGGGGCACACCGACCAAGAAATAGCAACCCCTCACTTCCTGCTCGATCAACAACGCCGTCGCCAATCAGCAGCCAGCTGACGTGATCGAAATTCCGGCCTTGGTACATCATCCTCATCCGCCATCGTCGATGACAATGGTGTCGCGTACGGTGGATGGTTGACCTGTCTCGCTCTTGGGCGCGGTTTAAGTATCGAATCATTCTTATTTGTATATACGTGATGAGCACGGATTGTCGTGAATACATGCAGCGTCATTCACGGATATCGAGAGTCGCGAGCGGTGACAAGTTCGGTCAACCAAGCAGATAGGCGGGCAGATATAGAAGAGTATAGCGATAAAAGTGCACAATACACGAATACTGCACGTCTCGACGCATGCATCGATAATACGCGTTAAGGCGATGCGAGCGAAGTCTTTCGTTGTGTGACTCACGGTGATTCTCATAAGTTTCTCCGTCGAGAAACATTACTCTTTAATCTTGTCATGCCGCGGAGGAGGCGTTTTGTGCGAAGCGTAGCATAATAAGCTCTCTGTGGTAATGGTATTAAACGGAAATGATCGAAGAGAGCCTCGGTTCCATGATCCTCATGTACTTCTTATTTATCTATCGCGCGTGTCAATGAAATTTTATCATGCGAAATACATTTGTGGAAAACCCGGCTAAGCTCTCGAATCAAGCTCTCTTTTTTTCTCTGTTCAAACGTTGTATTTATAATTAACTCTCTGTGATATATATGAAGTTGTTGAAAATATCTGCTATCTTCGGACTTTTTGTCTGTTAGCGGATGTTATGCTTTTATTGATGTTGTATATATGTGATTAATCGTATTTCAATATGTCTTGAAAATTTAAAAATTGTTGTGATGAAATTTTATAATATTATGTATTTTTGCGCTACTTTTGAGAGCTTAGATCCGTTCACGAAACTAGGAGAATTACTAATAGAATTGACGATATGCGCATGAAGCTTTTTATATATGTATAAAAAATCCTGATATATTTTACACGGTTTATCATTACATGATTTCACAGCATTATGTAATGATAAATTTTCGGTACCGAGTCTCTCTCTTTCTCTATCTCTCTTTCTCTTGTAAGGCAATAATAAACATTTAGCCGTGTCTGAATATACGATAAAGGATGCTAAACTTCAAAAAATACCGTAAAAAAGCGTAAGAAGGGAGAAAGAAAGATTACACTTGTAAGATTCAGGGCTCCTTCGTTGCCTTATTAAGGTTCCTAACAGACAGCCCAACAAATCCGTACGTTTAAACGAAAGAGATGAGCCACTTCTTCGATGGAAAATGGCAATGTGTTGCGATAGTGTATAGAAAATCATACACACGCATATGTATTTTACACTCGATGGAACCGAATACCTTTTCTTTCGATCGCACTGTAAACAATTTTACGATTTACGATTTCGTAGTTTTGCTGACAGCCAGGGCACCTTGGTAATAAAATAGTAATAACGATAAAGACTAGGTAACATTTAAGATAACAAACATACATACATAAACACAAAAGTACCTATACGTTAAATAAAAGATTGCACGCGTACGCGTTCAAAACGTAATTGCGTTTGGATAATATAGTACATGTATAAAAAGAAAATTCTCAACGCTCCTTCCACGTAACGTTCCGGCGTGTCTCCACTTAATAATCACGCAATCACGCTATACTGTACATTCGACGAAGAGATTAGTTTCGTACGACTCCGCCTGCGTATGTATCTTAATGCCGTTTATTGAATGAAGTCTTCAGGTAGTTTAAATAAAGCAGAGAGCGCCTAGATTACGATGTACTACCAATTAAGCAAGTAATTTAAACAAAGAGAAAAAAAAAGAAGAAAATCACCCGCGAGTAAAGTTAGTAGAAAAAAAAGAAAAATGAAAACTATTTTCTGCACTATGCTAGGAGTTAAATCGACGAGTGTAACGTAAGCGGGAAAGTTAGGGAGCTATGGAATACTTTTAATCTCTCCTCTTGTCACCATTGAGTACAGATGCTCTGACGTCCATGCTATTAAGCAAAGAAAAGAAAAAAAAAACGAAAAAGTGATCGCAATTTATTTATTTAAAGAGAAAGTCTAAATAAATGATACAACAATAGCCACGAGATGCCTTCGACGCAGCAAATTTCGGTGCCCTGGAACACACAGTGCATATATATGTATATATATATATATATATATATATATATATAAGTATATATGTAAAAAAGTATATATACATAGAGATACCTTTTAGCGAAGAGAGAAAGGAAGTGTAATATGCGCTAAATTTAGGTGTTGAATTATAGGTGTGCTCTGAATTCGAAGTCAAGTGGGTGTACATTTTTTTCTCTTCGTTTTCTGAAATCAAGAGAGGGAACGAACGTATTATGATGTAATGGGATGATGACGAAATGTATGTACGCACGTATCGAGCTACTACACATTTGATGTAAAACAATTCTGAGGACACATGAGAGGGAAATCTCTAAGTAGACTTAACGGTATTGATTGTCGATGTACACTGTAAATACTGACGAGGCAACTAAATATTATTAAGAGCAAGGCAGTTTGAGCTCCGGTGTTTAATTGGTTACCGCTGTACTGCCATCCTCGACTTTTTATTATTGTATATCGCGCATGATGAATCGTATTACGGGTGTGTTAAACGTACGGTATATCATCCAATCTCACGTTTTTGCTCGTGTTTACGCTAGTGTTCTTATCATTGTACGAATACTGATTAGTTGTTAATTTTACGGTTAATTTAAATGAAAGAAACCGCGATAGATCTCTCCTAGCTAATTCGTACTAATTAGGTATTAAGTTACTTTTTTCTTCGGCAAGGAGTCTCTTTATTTTTTTTTCTTTTTTCTTGTCGAATAAGAACCGCTTCCGATGACGTTCTTGATAATTACACGTCCAAAGGTTCTGCTTCCTACGCGTCTTCTATCTCTCTTGTCATAGCTGTCATTTTTTCGATCATATGGTTCCTTTTTGTTGCGATAGAGATTCTCAGATTATGTAATATACGATAATCACGCGCACGTATATTGATCGCATACAATAATGCGAATTACTTCTACATGTTTGAATATTGAGAGGAATCGCTTGTTTAATCAATATTTTAAGCTTGGATGAATAATGATTTAAAATTACAAATACCGAGAATACCAATTAAAATCTTCACTGTAAAATTATTTAGAAAGACTTTTGCTAAAATATGTCGAAAGAAAAACGAAAAGTTCTTTCACAAAGGTAAATCGTTAACTTTCCATTAAAAAATAAATAATTAGAAAAATTAGTAATTAACTAAATAATTAAATGTCAACATGTCTATAAAAATCATGAATAAAGCAAAAATGTTTTATATATAGTTTAAACAAATACGCGATAAAAAAATCTAATTAAATTTTCTCTTTATTGAAATTATATTGTGAACGATAGCTCAACTATTTCGAGTCGAACACAATTGTCTAAAAAAGATTAATATGGCTGATCTAATCATATAAAACTTCTCAGATGAGTTATTTATCATGGAATCTTTTGCATCCTGCATATTACTCATTCAGGCTTAAAGAGGAAGAACCGTGTTGTACGCGATGATGATCTTTCGAGCGCCCCGTGCGCGAAATAACGATTTGTGCAAAGTGCTCTTGGATAAATATTTTGTTGCACTTATCATTTTACAACGCGCGAAATCTAGAACTACGGATTGAGGCATACAAAATTTAAGAAAATGCGTTCTCGTTCTTGAAATATTGTAAAGATATAATACAATTATACAAAAGAAAACATTCAGGAGGAAGCAAAGAAAAAATTCAAAAGTTCGAAATTCTATGATAATTCTATAAATATTTATGATTTATTCCAAGTTATAAATATTATATATTATATCATTATAAATATTAAATATTGAATAACTGTTTATTTGGATTACAATGACTGTAAATATAGCTAAAAAAAACATTAGAATTATATCTGATCTAGCTTGTATCTAATATAAAAATTTGACGTTTGAAAAACAAGCGATCATTGTCAGAATTTTATCTTTTCTTTACACTTTATTCTGTTTTTTTATTATTCATTCTGTTTTTTATTGTTACGTTTCATTACGTCTCATCCGTATTCTATACAAACCGTTAGGTCGCGTGTGAGTCATTTGAATCATCCTGATGCGTATTGAGGAATCGAAATAATATTAACATATTTTTGCTCTTTTTGAGGATAACGGAAGCGAGTACGTGTTGCGACAATCGTGTGAACCAAATTCTTTGTTTGGAGGTACGGGTGTTATCTGTCACTGTAACTGCGCGAATGTTCCGTAACAACGCGGCTTAATTCATTTCGTTTTGTACAATGATTTAGCTGAATTTTGTAGTCGGACTTAGTATAGCACTAGGTAGAACCTCTCAATAATTAATCCTGTTCAAGCATAGTAATAATAAGCTATTAGACACGGCCAGTCCCGCGCATCAGTTTACGGTGACTAGATAACACCAATTATGATAAAAATTTCAACATATAAAAGCAAGCGCATTATTGCAGTCGATTGTACGAGAATAGATTTCATCATATAAATTTATACAACACGATGTCCGGCCGTTCCGTTATATGTGACATTCGTCGTATAAAATTCGCGATTATGTAAGAACAATTACATACAAAACGAGTGCAATGACTGCTATAATGCTTCCCTTGAATTCTTAAATGGGCGACTTTACTATGAAAAAGATAAGAAGAGAAATAGTCCCAACTTCTGACAATATATTTTAGGAACTCATATATATGTCTTGAATGTTATTAATATGAATATATTTAGTTTATAAATGATTAATTCTTGAAAAAAAAAATTATTTTATTTATTCCTCATAAAAAGCACTTAATCACTCAGATTACTTCTTGTTCTTTAATAAAAATGGAAGAATGTAAATTTTTATTAATAATAATAATAATAATTTATTGTTTTTTATTATTAACTATTAATATATCATTAATTTGTCAATAGTCGATTTATCAATTGTCAAATCAAATATTTAAATTATTGTGATATAAATTATTTTCTTAAATTACATTATCGTACTATTTTCTCTTTAAAAAGTTTCAGGAGCCCATTTTTCAGTTTCAACTACATATAAAGGCGAGTACATTATTGCAGTCGATTGTACGAGAATAGATTTTGTCAAACAAATTTATACAACACGATGTCCGGCCGTTTCGTTGTATGTGACATTTGTCGTATAAGATTCGCGATTATGTAAAAACAATTACATACAAATCGTCAGTTAATTCTGTTTTGGGGACAGAGAGGGAAGACAAGAATGCGAACCACACACGCGGACGCATGACAAAACGAGGTATATCAAGTGCGGATATTTTATAGTAGGCTTGTGATTAAATCGAAGAATTATTGTCGAACGGTCCGAGATAAAATAAAAAACGATGTATAAAAAAAAAAGAGATATTGCTTTCCACACGCAGAATATACTATTGTAATTATGTCGTTAATAAATTGTTTTTTATTTTAATTCTCTAGCAAACGGTTCGTACGTGTTCCCTACATAACATTCTATTGTTCATGATTTTTAGCATGAAGTTCCATTAGCAGAAATGCAACCTGGAGGCAATTTGCGGAGTATAGTAATTTGTTTCGGTAATAGCGTAATGATAACTTATAAATTAATAGCAAGTTAATAAAATTATAGCAAGTTAAAGAAAATAATTTTATAACTCGGATGATGACATGTATATCATCTGACAAAATTGGATGAATTATTATTATTTTGCATTGCATGATTTAATTAAATTACAACTGTAACATTAAACGATATAAAATTAAAACAGCTTGATGCTTTAATTAAACTTACTTTTACTACTTTATATATTTTACTTTATATATTTTTTGTTTGTAAGATATTACAAATTAAAATTTAATTTTGATTTTTCATAAAATTTCGAAAAGATTTTTATATTTCTATTACAATGACAAATGATCTAAACATACTTTTAATATTTCTATAAAACTGGTTATTCCGATAAGATATAAAGAGAAAATAAATGTTCATTTGATAAAAATTGAAATGTAGGAAATGCAATAATTTTCAACATGTTTTTGATTCAACTTATTATCAAACGACTTGTTGACAAATGACTTATTATCATGTTACAGTATTTGTAAAATATTATTTTTTGAGATTTTATATTATTACATACGAAAAAAATATTTTCAAATTTATTTGCCTCTTTTCGAAATGATCAATTTAATAATAATATATTAATTGTACGGATAAAATTTAACAAATATATTATAAGCATCAGTTTATATTACAAAAAGTTAATAATTTTTTAATTGTAGTTTATCTTAAAATGTCAACAAATCGTATGCGATTAAAAGTTTTTTTAAATGTTAAAAATTGTTATCTATAGTGAAAATATATGTGCAGCAGGCAACCGCTTTTACTGCGATGGTAATTTTACCTCTGTTCGCTACTGACATCTTTAATCCAGTTCTGGCTTCCAGTTCACCACATTTCACCGATGATGGCGTTAGTAGCTCGGATTTGAATCGCAAAAATAATTGTTTATTAATTATTAGTTTCTTTTTGTATGATTCAAAGCAACAAAACAATCGAGTTATTATCATAAGTTTCAATTTCTCATTAATCTTATTATATAATAATTTCTCATTTTAATTTTCAATAATATAATTTATAGTAGTATGTATATTATATATATAT